TACATGTATATTAATATAAATACGGTACATACACTGAAAACAAAATTTTTTACAATTTTTGTCTGTCTGTCTGTTTGTTCCGGCTAATCTCTGAAATGGCTGGACCGATTTTGACGGGACTTTTATTGGCAGGTAGCTGATGTAATACGGAGTAAGTTATGCTTATTTTATTTTAGAAAAATAAAACTAGCATAAGTTAAATTCCACGCGAACGAAATTGCGGGTGCAGCTAGTGTAACATAAAACAAGCCACAGTTCCAAAAAACAGCAATATTCATAATATTAATACTAGATTTAAAGACAAACTTGCTGTCCCCAAGTATCGTTTAGAAAAAGTTAATAGGTCTTTTATGGGAATAGGTATAAAAATTTACAATAAGACAAGGATGTGTTGGAATTACCCTTAAATAAATTCAAAACATCTGTTAAATCATATTCACTGAGCAAAGCCTATTACTCACTAAACAATTACTTGAATGACGAGTGTGCATGGCAATAGTTGTTCATGCACTGAATTTTCATTTAATGTTAGATATAGACACCTATATAAATATACATTGTAAATAAACTGGCTTTTAAAAAAAAAGTAATGCAATTGAGTTTCTTGCCAATTCTTCTTAATTGGATCTATATACCGAACTGGACGGTAGGGGAAAAATTAAAATTAGAATGTTAAAATTTGACGTTCATAAGCGGCTAAAATATCTTACATGAATAAATGATTTTTTTAATTTAAGCAGTCACTACTTTTTACTTTTATCCTATACATCTATCTATAGATGGGATAGTTAGAGGTAAAATCAATTATACATGGTGGACGCAACAGTCAACATGCCACATTTCGCTGGATTTATTTAAATCCATTGTGGCATCCACTGGGGTAGGGTGTGGGGGAGGGGAGAGCATTGTCTGTCAGATTAAATTTTGGTTTGATATCTGTATTTTTTTAAATACGGAGTCAGTAAAAAATATAACCGGCCACACAAATTTTTTGGTGTCGCCCAGATTTGAACTTAATATCTCTTGGATATTCAATATAGGCACTAGGCCAAAAAGTTGAGATTTTTCGTTTTCTAAAAGATTTTCTTACTTACTATTTATGTCTACTTCCGGGCAATTATAAATAGTAATTAAGAAAATCAGTTTCAGTAGCTGTGACGTGGTCGAGTGGAAAGAGTAGTCATGCTCACTAAAATGTCCAGACATGTGGCGTGGTGGGCCGGGTCATTGGGCTCCCTAAAATATGGTCGAGCGCAGTGATGGCTGGCTCATCCGTCATACTCGTGAACGAGTGCTGCTTGTAGGGACTGGTCTGCTCTTGTCACTACGACTGATTTAATCTTATTGTGTATTTATATTTGACCCAATAAAAATAGTGCTGATTGGTATTTTGTATTCACACGTTTCGACTGCACAATGTAAACTTACAAGGATTATTTAAAAGAGCAACACACAAGTTTCTTGCTCGTTCTTCTTAGACAGCTTTCCGAACGAGTGGTAGATAAAAAACAAATTGTTATGACTATTCAAAAGTGCTTAAATTAAGTTTATTTGAATAAATGATTTTCTATTTCTAATTCACAAAGTGCCATCAAGCTATGCAGAGCTTGTGTTATGGATACTCTAGACAACTGATACAAATACATAGAATTTGTTTTAAATTTAGAAACAGTCAGACCGATACAGACTGTCATACTCATGATCATGAAACACGAATAAATATTTGTGCCGTGCAAGGATCGAACTCGCGACCTTCAGGAGTAAAGCGATGTGCTAAACCGCTCTTTTTCACTGGAGAGTGAGTCAGAGATAAAATCGGATGTTCAAATGGTGGTGTCGCCCATATTTGAACTTACTACCTCTTGGGTATTATTCAGTAGGACATTATGTTAAGAAGTCGTCATTTTTCTTTTTTAAATACAAATTCTTAATTATTATTTACATTCTCGTGTGTATCGTGTATCATTTTATTTTTACCGAACATTTCTTTTGCCTTACCTGCCGAGCCCTAGCTCAGTTAATAACATATTATTTTTATTCCACTGTATACTGAAGTAACTATTTAGATAGGTACAAAAACGTAATTGCCATATAAAGCCACCCCCGCAAACAGTTAGTATTCATGAAATGTACCTCGTAAGAATATATTGTTACGGTAATTGTGTAACTATGTACATTATATTAATAATATGTCTAATTTAGATTTTGTTGTTGTTTTATTTTACCGAGGTGATCTTTGTAAAAGTCGTCGTGTTTCGAACGAAGGGTGATAAAGAGTAACTTTGCAGCATACAGAGGCATGACATCCGAGTCTATACACTAATGGTATCACGGGTGTAACGACTTACGTATTGCTGTTCAAGTCGGAAACTGTTTCCAAATACATAAAAAAAATAAAGAAAGTGATTAAGTATATTTCGAAAATAGAATAGTCAGTTGGTCTGAGTCATAATACGCTGATATTTCTTTTTATTGATGATGATAAAAATGATGCAGTTATCTGAGTTAGAGAAAGTTACTTACGCGTTTATAATATAGTATTAATAAGGATTTTAATTTGAAATTAAATATTTACATTAACAAATAATTTGTTAAGACCCTAGCTAGTTGTGGACGCCATTTGACATGTTCATATTGCGGCTATTAAACTCGTTTTTGTTAGAGTCCAGCGCGGCAACTGGCGAATATGGACTCTAATCTCGTCACTCGGATTTGGTTTGTTATTAGAGTTCCCTTCAACGGCGAGTCGGTCTGAAGTATAATTGACATAGTTTTTGTGTTGGCGAAATTAAAATAGTACACAACTTTTCGGCCTAAGTTGGAATAATCCATACATAAACCAAAACGTTCGTGGTCAGGGTCCCCAGCGACATGCTGCCCACTTTCATTAAGGAGGACTACTGGCCGAAGGTGGTGGTGTATCGGCACTACCGGGGCAGATTGCCGTTGTCAGTGCCGTGACAATAAAGACAATTGAATTTATATATTATTTTTTCTTATTTATTATAAGTTATTTATACTCGTAAAATGACTTGAATTAAATAAAATAATAAATAAAAGAAATTCAAAGTCGGGCAAAACAAAATAATAAAATGAATTATTAATTGAAACTATTTAATATGTAAACTTATATAATGTAATGGCCATGAATTAGGTATTATTAAAAAAAACTATTGCCAGAGATTACCCTAAACATCTAAACGCCTTTGCAAATATTTACCTCTCTATAATGATACCTACAGTAAGTACAGTTTTATACATATGTTATAGGTAAGTAGGAGTACGGTCCACATATTAATTGACCCGTGTTAATAAATTACTAATGCCATTAAAAGCTGTCATCACGTCATACATACATTAAGAAATAATATTGGCAATGTACATAGTATTAAAACAGGACCATATTCAGTAGGTAGAGGTAATATGTTGTACAACGATGAAATAATAATATCATGTTTATTACACAACATTATTTGTGGGAAATTATTAATAAACGCAACATCATCTAATTCCAAACTGAGCGAAACATTCAATATTTTCGTGATTTACTCGTATTCCAATCCTTACTAATAAATGAGAAAGATCATAGGCTGCCTTTTAATACGAAAAATGGGTTAAAAGATTATATGGAAGTATCATCATTTTAGAAACTAGAAGACTAAAACTTCTTTTTTAGACTATTGATTCAAAATAATTAAAGAAAAAAGGGTTGGAAGGAGTTGAAAGGAGAGATGGAAGGTTTTGCGGAAGTATTGTCATTTTTAAAGCTAGAAACTTGAACATGTTTTTTAGGGTGAAGTTTGTATAAATGTTATGCTTATGGGGTTAAAATAATGTAGGGGGTGAAAGTTTGTATAAAGAATTGACATTTTTTAAGCTATAACGATGACACTTTATTTTTTATTTTTTCACAAATGTAGATCCATATATACAACACTTTTAAAATTTATATACGTAGATTTAACGTACAATATTTAACATAAAAAAGGTTTAAAGGTAGCGCGTAAATATTCAAGATTGTATGCATATTTTATGCAAGTCATAAAAATAATGAATTTACAAATGAAACATTAATTACTGGGGTGGACTGATTTTAGAATAGAACGTAAATTATAAAAAATAAATTACGTTCTATTCTAAAATCTACCGAATATACACACAAAATCGTTCAAGCCGTTTCGAAGGAGTTTTGTTACAAATACTATGCCATTAAAAAAAAGTGTTCGAAACGAGTGCACAGACTTCTCTCATGTCTATAAATAAGAATATGTTCTTACATGTTATACCTTGTAACTATAGATAGGTTCTTTGTTGTATAATTATATTGTACATATATCATACACAAATAAAAAATTGGTTCAAATAAAGAATCTATATAAGCCCACTGAAAAGATGTACCTATTTACTTTCATAACATTATTTCGATATCTCATACATTTTGGTTTTCTTGGCTTTTGTTTCAGTGTAATGATGTGAATTAAGAAATTGTGATGTTTTTGGAGGTATTACCTATATGTACTATATATATTTAAGGTTCAGAGAAATGAAATACCGGTTTATAGACTTATTACTCTAAATATATATGAAATTTAATATGACATACACTATAATATGAAATTTACCTAATACTAGCTTATTTTATCAATATTTGGAATTCGTACGAATTTCAGGTATGAAATAACAGAAGGGGAGGAGGGATCATTTCAATAAAACCGCTTTCAGCTCCTACACCTAAAGATCTGTTTACCATACTGTGATAAGAACTCAGTTTCGAATGACGTAAAAAGTTAAAGGACAAAACGATCTTTATTTTTCTTTTTTAAATATGAAGCGGTTAACTATTGTATATTTTCATTTAATATTTACCATTGTGCATATGATATGGTTAGTAATATTTTTGATTACACACTAGTATTGGCAAGATTGCAATATAAAATAGAACACCCATACTTAGTAGTTAGTAATATTTATTTTATGCTTAAAAAGATATTTTGTTACAGAAAGTCCACAAGATCTTTGTCTAGAAGAAATACAAACAGAATTGCCGTCGGCTCCATTGACCAGTAAGTAACTAAACGTCTTAACCTCTCCACTTTATGTCTCGCTTTGAAACTTATAAATAAAATTATGCAAAATAGACAAGCGCCGGAGCTAGTAGATACCGTACTATGCTTGAGGCCATCATCAATAATCAATTTTCAGGATATTGTACAATAATATGAGGGGAAACATTTAAGTAACCATTAAATATGAATAATAATATATATTAATATTAAGAGGAATAAACCCAAATGTGAGAAGGATAAATACATTGGTTACTCATTTTTAAATTATTTAAAATTATTGTGACGTTTGTAACTTTACCTTTATCGCCTCTATTTATTATTCCGCAACTGAGGTGGAATAGTATTAATTGCATAGACATATATGCATAATTTATATAGGTATTTACAGATAATGCATCGCCGCTCACATACGAGTAAATCTCTGTGCGCTGGAGTTAATCTATACCGTAAACGCAGCTTTACGTGCATCAGTAATTACAATACATTAACGGATTTAGAATACTAATAACCAGGCTCATAATAATTATGTACTTATTACTAGAAATAATTAAATAAATTTATAATTATTTTTTATACATTCATGCTATTGCAAAATGCATTTTATATTATATCATAGCATCACATATTACGTTTTTATTGGAAAATAATGATAATTAAATATTTTATTATAATAATTTATTATAATACTAGATAGCCGGCGATCTTACGTACCTTAAATACCACAGAGAATTTTACAGTATCACCTAAAACATAGTTAGTTTGTTTTCCCTGATCAATCCCATTAAAATCACTCTATTTTTTTATGAAAAAATTATATTAAAAAAATACTTAAAAAAGTACTTTTACGTTTTTGCGGAGAATGTTTTAAAGCATTCAGGTAATTAAACTTCCATTAATGTTCCAAAAATTTGTTTAACCCGATTTATTCACAATACTTTTACTGGTTCTATTTTTAGTTGTATACATACATATACTATATGCTTAGAGAAACACTATCGTATACTTTTTTCTAGTGATTACTTGTAATAATTACCTACTCTTTTCTAATTTAATAAACAAAGGTAATTTAATATACAAATTACCTTTTTATATAAAACTAGCTGGTCCGGCAAACGTTGTTTTGTCTTAAAATAAAAAAAATTAGGGTGGACTACCCCTAACATTTAGGCGATGAAAAATAGATGTTGACCAATTCTCAGAACTACTTAATACGCTCACAAAATTTCATGAGAATCGGTCAAGCCGTTTCGGAGGAGTATGGGAACGAAAACTGTGACACGAGAATTTTCTATAAGATTCTACGCACAATGTCTATGAATCCACCCACACCGCCAACAATATTTTTAAACGAAAATATTAGTTCCGTTCAGAGTAAAAAATTAGGTATACCTACATATTACATAAATGAATTTATACGACCAATATAGTACATCCTACAGTGTAGAACGTAACTATACTAGTTTAAATCGGAAAACACCATTTTCACTTTATTGGCGTATTGTAAGAACACGGCTGCTAACGCAATTAGTTCATCTTCAGAGACGCACGTAACAGGCCTGTTACTGACGTTTACAGGACACGGTAATTGGTCGCAAGACAATTTTAAAATGGATTTCTGTTACTGTAATATACGGATTAAGACTGCAATAGAACTGTAGTGTACGTGACACTAAACTTCTTGACTGAATATAGCATGTTCAGTGCAATGGACACTTATAGAAAATGTTGTAAAGATTAGAATTAAGACACTAACAGAAGTATAGTCTACGTGACACAAGATGCATTAAGTATTTATATTTTTCACTCTACATTTTTTTTTCTTTTTTAATTTATTTAATAAAGATAATAGTACAGTTGTTTTTATACATTGACTCGCCAAACTGTAGAATTTATTTAGTTATATACATATAGTATGTTCCGTGCAATGGATATTAGTAGAAAACGTTATAAAGATTATTAGTACTATCTTCATTACATAGTATAAAATAAAGTCGCTGTCGCGGTCTGTCCCTATGTATGCTTAAATCTTTAAAACTACACAACGGATTTTGAAGCGATTTTTTTTAATAGATAGAGTGATTCTAGAGGAAGGTATATATATAATACATGTACACCCGTGCGAAGCCGGGGCGAGTAGCTAGTAATGTATATATTAAGACACTAACAGAAGTATAGTCTACGTGGCACAAGATGCATTAAGTTAATATTTTTCTCTCTGAATATGGCATGTAATTCTGTGCACCTGATATTAGTAGACGTGTTATATCTCAATGACATACATGTATTTTTAATAGAATACCAAGACTTAGTTTCCTAACAGTAGCTTTTAGGAAGAAGATAAATATACACATATAAACGCTCTCACTTCATGTCTCTGAGTGTATTGTATAATAATAATAATAAACTGTACTAACAATAATTTACGTAGTTACAGTTATTCTTCTTATAAACTATTATATTTTCGTTAAATGCGCATCATGCAGATAATTTACTAATAGTATCTAAACTTAGTAGGTAGCTATATATTGCATATTTAGCACACTATTCTGTAGTGAGTAATTTAAATAAATTCATCGTTACAGTTATTTTAAACAATGTTCATAGTTTATTCAGTCACCCGAAATTTAAATCAATCCTATAAATGATAATTGAAATTTCGCTCCATTCAGCCTTACAAGGTAATTTAAATATTGAATAAATTTCTTTGATATCTCTTATCAAAGAATATTTACGCTAAATAATCTGATTTTAATAAATAACTATAATCAATGCTGGGGTATTCAGATGAATACGGTATGGTATTGAGTATTTTCGCATGTACACAATATACGTAATGTATCACTCATTCACATAATAATACATTATAAAACTATACATACGAGTATAACATAAATTGGAGTGTCTAGAGTGAATTGAAATAACCATTTTTTACTACAAACATATGAATATAAATACGGTACATACACCAACATAACACTTTTGCAATTTTTGTCTGTCTGTCTGTTTGTTCCGGCTAATCGCTGAAATGGCTGGTCCGATTTTGACGGAACTCTTTTTAGCAGGTAGCTGATGTAATAAGGAGTAACTTAGGCTACTTTTATTTTAGAAAAATAAAATAAAACTAATTAACTTTTTTGTTAAACTCCACGCGGACGAAGTCGCAGGAACAGTTAGTAATAAATATAATCCAATAAATATCATTTGATGCACTTAGCATAATGTTTGCATGATAATAATCCATTATATTTTGATGTCGAATTTGGAATATTTAACACTTCATTAATTCAATTATTAATTTATTCTCTGGTCGTCAAACATAATAAATCAAATATATATACGAATTTTACCAGATGTTTGGAAATGAAAAGTTAATATTCTTATCTTCTTATTAGTATTTCTTACTTTAGAGTTCTTTCGAGTACTATACAAATACTTCGTTCTTTAGTTCGATCGTACTTTAGAGTACTATACAAATATTTAAAAACTGTTTATATTTACCTATATAGTGTTTTAGGGCTAAAGATTTTAGCCCTAAAACTCTGTATAATTATACTATCTGTGCCCGCGACTCCGTTCGCGTGACATGAAGACATTGATCAAATAAAGGAATAATATTTAAAAATGTAACCAAAAAAGCCGATGAAATAAATTTCATCATTATAGCTTCAAATATTTCTTTTCTTTATATTTAATCAACAGCCTAAAAAATAGGATTCAATCTTTTAGCTTTAAAAATGACGATACTTCCATACAACCTTTTATATCACCTTTCAACCCTTTTGAGTCCGTTTTTCGTATTTAAAAGTAGCCTATATCCTCTCTCAAGTTCTATAAATCTAGACTATCTGTTTGTCAAATTTCATTTAAATCGGTTCTGTAGTTTTAGCGTGAAATCGAGACATACTTTTACATTAACAAGTAAGGATTTAACATATATTATTTGTTTAGGTGAAGAAAGTGATACTGCCGAGACAGATGGACGACTGTCATCTGAAAATTCGCCATTACGTCAACGCCGGGGCGGAATATTGAAAGGGGGACGATTATGGAAATCGATGGACACTGACAAAGACAACAGCGAACAGGTATACCTTTACTTTAGACGCAACGTTTTGTTTTACTAGAATTTATAATAAATGTTGTAAATTTAGATTGCGGACCTTGTAAACTAAAATTAGTTTCATAATATAAATTCCATCAAAGGTTTTGTATAAACTTTTGTTTTGCTTGCATATTTCGTGGTGCTTCACGCGAGTTTATCCGCTTATATGGAGTTTACAGGTTTATTCGTAGCTAGTAGTTAGTTATTAGAGAAATTAAGCCACGAGGTGTAAAATAAATTAAAATATACAAAATATCTTTATTCATGTCGATCTTTTACAGACTCTTATGATATGTGAAATCTACCGTCAGTTCGGAACGATTATGAGATGAGAAGAACTGACAAAACTCAGCTCGTGTTCATTTCAAATATATAGTAAAATGAACTAAAACAAATAGAAATAAATAATTAAATTCAATTGTCAATTATATTGCTATTATTAACTTATATTGACGACATGTTAGAGATGAATTCAAAAACCGTAACATTGCAGTAGATGCATAACAGTTTTACCTTTAATAAAACTTTCTGATAGCTAATATATATTATCAACAAAACCGTTGGTATGTTACCGTTATTTCTCAACTTATCGAATTAAAAATAAAACTTCAACATTTCTGAATAAAATATACTACAATATTTTTTAAGTACCGGTTAGTTATATTCCAGTCATATTTTATGTATTATTTAAAATTTAATACGGAATTTCTATATAAAGGATTCTGCGGAGTTCTACGAGTACGTTTCAACCAATAATGCCACCAACTGCTCGATACACAAGCGAGAAATGGCATTGAAACTAATGAGTACAAACACACGGTGCCTTAGTTGCAATTTAATGGCAACACACTGATAATAATAAATATAATCTAAGGTTCTATATTATAACGTATCTAATAACAATGAGTTCTTTTACACATTTTAACTAATCAGCAGAACGATGACCAACGATCGACAACTACAGCGAGCGACGAAGATGGTTCGATGACTCCTCGCTCTGTACGGTTCGTGGAGCGAGCAAGCGAGACTTCTGACACGGCCCCAAGTGAATCCGAAACAACACATAACTCTGACAATGAAACGACGTCACAGAACAGCACCAACACTACCCACAGGTACAACTTCGTGAGAAAGTTTAAGTTTAGTTAGACTACTGCGCCAATGTCAAACAAGCTGTCGACCTAGTTGATAGAAATTGAAAACAGTGTTACCTAACTGTATTAACTAGAAATTGAAAACAGTGCCACCTAACTCTATTAATTAAATAAAACTTAGAATGCCACCAGTCATAAACAAGGATTACTTATTTTTATAACTTATTATAATGATCTCTTGGATTGAATATCGAATTACAATCGCGAGAATAATTATGTTATAATACAAATTAACTTAGTGATTATTAATATTAAAATCATGTGTGAGAAGATTGAAATTAACAGTATTATTCAAAGAAAAACCATGAAAATTATTCGTGTACGTTGATCTCAAGAGGAATCACAAAAAAGTAAAATATTATATCTAAAAATGGGTTATCAAAATAATATAGGTATTTTTAAAAATAAGGGTGAGCGAGCTGCCAGCAACATCATGCTGGTTCTATAAAAAACATATCATCGATTATATGGTTTAAATAGTTCAGCAAAACAACAGTAACCGTACAAGTTTGTACATGAAGTTTAGATTTAATTTAACAATAATATATACCAAGTACTTTACAAAAAAAATAAGTTCATTTAAATAAATAAATTTTATAACCATAAGCTTTACTACATAAGTAAATTGTACGATGATCCTCAGGTTTCTTAATCAGACGTTTATCAACATCTGTCAGCGAACTGTTAGCAAATATCGACGCTAACCAACCCAGCTCCAAACCGGGTGAGGTTGTCAAATAGGCTTTTGATACAATTGCCTTTACAATATAGTATATTGGTGAATTATAAAATCTTATAATTTTAATTGTAATATTTCAAGTTTTGATAAAAGCCTTACAAAAGGTGTATCTACTTATATTCTCTACAGATTTTCATATGCTATCCCTGAGGAAAAGGGAGTAAGATCAAGGTCATAATCTAACTAGATATCATTTCCTTTTTACCTTTTTTCAAAGCATAAGAACGCACGCATTACAGCTTTGCGGCAGAAATAAGTATTTGTACGCCTACAGCCCGGCCGCTCAGAGTGGTCGGGATCGAATGGGTGATATAACTTTGAACTATTTGATTTATTAATGGGTGATAATATTAAAAATTTATTAATTATTCGAACTTACAAGAAACATATTCATTTTGGGCTATAATTATTAACTACTTAACTAATATAAAAAATATATATTTTAAAACTCAAACCACATTAAACAGCGCTGTTCTAAGGTTATTATCATTACATAGTATAAAACGAAATCGCTGTGTGTTTTTTACTTTTAAAAAAATATTGTTTTTGTATTAAGTTAGAAGTTAATACCTGCCAGATCGCGCAAACTCTGAGCAGCCCGACTTTAACCAGTAGAGCTGTACGTTTTACCGACATCGTTAATCAATGTTGCTATTCAAAAGAACGGATATGATGCGGGTTACAACGCAGACGCGACAGTTGTTAATGATCCGAGGTCCGATGATTGTATCCCACGGGTTCAATTTCAATACATTGTCGAATTATTTAAATGATAGTGCATCTTCAAGTTATACCTATAAAATGCAAGAGAATTCACACGTCCAAATCTAATATGTACTTATTACCACTTATATTATATATAAAAAATTAAATGGTAAAATAAATCTTAAACTACTATATTATGATTTGCAAAAAAACAATTTGAAATGTTGAGAATTTGAAAACTACAAATAGAATTATTTATAATATTAACCGGGTCTTAACATGAATAATTTTATGGCAAATAAAGGTATTTAATAATAGAATGCAAACTAGGCACTTTCTGTCGGTCTATTTGATGAGTTAACTGAAAAACTCCTCGCTAAAAGTCCTATGTAAATTACTATTTGTCCTAAAGTTGACTTAGAGATAACAAGCACGAGAAATAGCGATTATAATAAAATTCACTTCTACCTATATAAATAAAATAAATGTTAGAGCGGTGCTAAATCAATATTTATTAATAATACAAGTAAGATGGGAAAATTGCTGAAGAAAAAAAATAAAATCCGACTCCTGAAGCTTTATTGAATGCACTATATTTTCAAAGGAAGTAATTATGAAGAAACTCGTGAAGTTTTCAAACTGATGCCCTGATAAATTAACCTTAAAGGCTGAGAATATCTGGCCTCATTTCATATTGAAGTATATATTGTGTATAATTTATATTTGTTTGTATAATAATTGCTTATTCATATATTTAAATTGATTAATTTAATCTATTCTATACACCAGATCTATCATATATATTTTGTAGGACTATAATAATTAATTAATTAATATTTACTATTTATTATAGAATCGTAATGTTAAAAAAAAATAAGTACTACGTTTTTTACGAACTTTAGCTATAGATACAGATAATGGACGCAAATATGTTAAGTTTTTTTAAATTATTATACAATAATTTTCAAGTCTTGAAATGAGTTACAAAAGTAGGACATTATATATTTTCTTAATGAAATGAGGATTTGTGCATTTTAGTAAGGGGAAGTTTGGCAAAACTTTATAATTTAACTACCTGTCCCGGCAAACGTTGTTTTGCCATATAAAAGACTTTGGGCAAAATCTGACCCAGTTGATAAAAGGTTTCCTACAAAAATCAAATGAAGTGAAATTGTTAAGTATTAACCAACTATTAAATATAATGATATTGTTTGAAAACCGTGGGAATAAAAATTAAGAGATGAATAATAAATCGGTATTCAGTGAGCATTTTCATATATAAAATGTTTAGATGGAACAATTTTAATTAAGCATTCTGTTAAATAAACAAAACAACCAATATTAATATCCCAAACCTTGTTATATATTTTTTTCGATATGACATTTCTCATTTATATTAGTGCACCGCCAACAATCATTCTCTACACCATTCATGATTGGTAAAAGGTATAAAAAATATGTAGATAGTACCCGATTCTAATACCTACTGAATATGCTATATATATAAAATTTCATAAAAATCGGTCAAGTATTTTGGAGTAGTATGGTAAAATTGTGACACGAGAATTTTATACATAAGACTAGCTGTGCTTGCGATTTCATCCGCGTGAAATTTATAGCCTGCATGTTATTCTCACGTATAAGCTATATTATTGTAAAGTAATCAGAATCTGTTCAGTAGTTTGTGCGAACATCCATCAATTCTCACAAACTTTCGACTTTACAATATTAATAAGATAAATTTATTCAACAGACTTGAAACGCCACTGATTCTCACAATACACTCCCCCAAAGCGAACTCGGCGGTTCAACAGTTGTTCAACAGTGGTCGACCGCCGCCGCCAGCAATTGAGCCTCAGTTGGTTACTTCAGAAACACTCCGGTAATATACTAATAATACAAATGTGCTTTGTTGTCTTTCTGTTATCGCTTTTTTCATCACGGAACAGCTAAATAATATTTCATAAATTTTAACAGGACGATAAATATAAATTATATTTGATCCTAATAGCAGTCAAGATTGTCGCATGTAATCGCGAATAACATCTAGTTCGTATATATAGGTATTTACAATATTATGATCGTTAGTAATGAAGCTTCTTGAAGTTGTGTGTTTTTTATTAATCACACAAAAGGTTTGTGTGTGTACGCTACTTTATAAACGTGTTTAGACTTAAATGACAAATGTAGAACAGATACATCATAATGAATATTGAATATATACTGTATTATATACAAATTATAAATGAGACATTTACATATGTCAATATTCTCGTGGCAAACAACACTTTTACATTATACTAGCTATTCCCGCGACTTCGTCCGCGTGGAATTTTAACTTTATTTTTCTAAAAAACAGTAGCCTAAGTTGCTCCTTATTGCATCAGCTACATGCCAAAAAAAGTCCCAAGTCAAAATCGGTCCAGCCATTTCAGAGACTAGCCGGAACAAATAGACAAACAAAAATTGTAAATAATGTTATTTTGGTGTATGTACCGTATTTATATTCATATGCATGCAGTAAAAACGTTTATTTCAATATTACAAACAGACTCTTCAATTTTATTTATATGTATATATAGATAATGTGTATAATTGTGAATAATCACGATTAAATATTAATAAATGTGGTGTATTACAGCAGACCATCGCGACTGTTATCCTGAATGTGGCATTAATTGTCGATGTTGTGGTTGTATGTAACATATCCTCATATTTCGCTCGGAATATTTTTAATCCAGCGTGGCGGGGAGAGGGAGCCTATCGCAGTCTCCGATAAATTCAGAATTAATTTCAGAGAGTCAGTATAAATATAAATAAATAATACTAAACCAGAACAATTCAGACAGTGCCATCTAGTTCCAAGCTAAGCAGAGCTTGTGTTATGGTTATGTGTACTAGACAACTGATATTAGCATACATAGATATTTTTTTTAATATATACATAATAATATAAAAAATACCTAGACCCCAACAATCATACTCATGAATAGAAATGTTTGTACCGTGCGAAGAATCGTACCCGCGACAATCGGAAGAAAAGCCGTGTGCTATACTGTTAGTCAAAAAGGCACACAAATGTTTTCTTTGGTGTCGTCCAAATATAAACGCAGGAAATCTTGGGGATGATTCAGGGTAATAAAGCATTAGATTAAGACTCTCAAGTTTTTACACAAATTGACATGGCAAGATACAATTAGTGTTGTAATGTTAAGCAGAGCGTGGGATGCCGGCGTGAGGCCGAAGACAGAAGACGCAGCAGTTCGACGGGTGGCTGAGAGGAATGCGTTGCGCTGTTCATTGCTGCGTAGTGAAGCAAGAAAGAAACAACAACCAAAGGTAAGAATACGTTTTACTACTGGAAAATAATATCTCAGAAAAATAAATCTTTATTATTAATTTGAAAACCTGTTTAATAAATAAAAAAACGAATATTACTAATTGTCTAGGTTATTTCATATAATCCGCCAAATTAATTTTGTATTTCAAACCTAAATAGAATAAATAAAGAAATTCTACAAAAAAATGAGCAAACAAGCTAATAGCCCAATTTTTGTTGAATGCTTAGGTAAATATTTATTGCTGATGTAGAAGAGATTCTTTTAAATCTTGAATAATCACTTTAACACTGATCCTCGCTGGAGCCGAGAGCTCACTAAAAGAATAAAATTGAAAGCTTAGAACATAATTTATACATAATAATAAATTCTTAGTGATAAGCAAATTGAATCTATGAATAGCAAAAGTATCGAGAATTAAATCCTGATTGACTGACTGTCTCGCATACATACTAAAGTTCCAAACACAAAGTTTTGACAATGTGTAGGTTCCATTTATAACGCAGGCACCTCTTAAGAAACAGTTTAGAGTTTAGTAAACGTACTTTGATAATGTAAATTGACGTTATTCTAGAATATTAATCAATTAATTACTAGGCAATTGTATTACTAAGGAAAACCGGAATAGATTACGGACTATATATAGTCAATAACAAAAACTTCATTTTCAGGGCTTCCTTTTAACAAATTAATCCATGTATAAAATACACATATACAGCCTTTTAAAAAGCCATTACCATATTGTTCAATATGTAAATGACACGGACGTTAATTGGTCTTAATTGTGAACAAAGTGCAGTGGTGCAGTCAGATAATAATTTATATAATACGATAGTTAATAATGTTCTATTGAGTGGTCTTAATTTAAAAATTTACAACGAAAGTATATTGTTAAAGAATTTTATCATTGATTGATTCTGCACTTATTTTTCTTTTCTAAACAAGAGTAAGTAACATAACTCAAGCGTCCTTGCTGTGTAATGTGTTACATTATTTAAAGTACTTATAATAATATTACGTTAACAGTATACCATAAAAGTATCTAATTTGTATTAATGTATTCTCAACGTGGCCAAGTTGCCTTACTAAAATTTTAGAATGGTGGCAATGACTGTTTATTCGTAACGACTTACGATTACGGGATTAATTCATGAACTACTAATTCCCTAAGGTAGTGCTTGTAAATAATAATTTGTTCTTTTTGGTAAATATTTTAATCACATTTGGTGTATTTACGCACTCATGGTAAAAAGTGTTAGGAATTAATTTCATTTGAATGCCAAAATATTTTTATTGAATTCCATTTTTCATTTCGTTTCGTTTTCAGGTCGTATGATATGTGTATTTGATAAAAAAAATATGAGATGGAACGTATAATATTTTACATGAAATAAAGTTTTTGTTGAGGGTTTCATACATTTATTGATTAAATATGAAATATAAAACATTTCTAGAAAAATTCTTGTTAGGACATATCTAGTTGTTTACGTATTATTAATTGAGTTAGTATATTCGTCGGTATATGACGACCTCGATGGTCTAACGGTTTAGTACGCACTTTACGTCCTATGGTCGCGGGTTCGATTCCTCGGATTGTTCAAAGATGAGTATAATTGTTTAATCTGTATAGGTGTTTTCTATATACGAGTATATTAAGTATGTATTTACCAAAAAATGTATGCATGTACTTATATCAGTAGTTTAGTAACCCTAACACAAGCTCTGCTTAGCATGGGACTAGATGTTGCTGTGTCAATTATCCAGGGTTATTTATTATTCGATTTTCTCTAATTGAACAAAAAATATAACAAGTAACTAAGTGTGAACAGGTACCGCAACTCGATTGTAGAGAATAGGGGTAATGCTACGTATATGTTCATGACCTGACCTCGTTTTAGAGAGATACTTTTCCCTTTCGTTTGCCTCGCCGACCTTCAGGCAGTCTCAGACATCTAATTACTGTCGCTGTAGAAAAGTTGCGGGATAATATGCCGACTTAGTAATAAGCCTGAAATCAAGTAATGCCTACTCTGAACTAACCAAAATTTACGAAAGTATAAAAGATCTCAGGGCAAAAACAAATAGCGTTTAAAATATTAAATTGCCCGAAACTGAAACAATTGTACATAGGTAGGTAGGTAGGCGTGGTAGAAATTAATCCTACTTTAATGTTATAAACACAAAAGTTTTTGGAGATGGAGGACTAGCTTAACTTTGTAACTTCGTCTCAAATAAAGCTGGGTGCACAGAAAGATGGAAACATATCCCTGGTAATATACAGGATAATTTTTACGCGCATTTATTGAGGAGTGCCCTAGGATATATACTAGCGTAAATAAGTAGCTTAAATTGGCATGCGGCGTAAATAAAATTTAGTCAATCAATCACCTGTAAGTAAGCCTTAGAAATTATGAAAGAATCGCTGCCTACGTATTGGCGCAATATCATATGCCTGACGATTTTGAATGCTTAAAATGAATATCGAACATGGAACATTACTCAACAAATTAAAAGACAAAATAAATATTATGCTCCTAAATTAATAATATTTCATACGAATCTTTATTTGTCTGTTGCCAATACAGATTTACAATATAGATTGATAACCATAAAACTCATGTTCGCCATTTCAAATGTATAATGTGACATATAGTGTAGGTGTCCAATGCGTGGCAATTAGCTAAAGTAATTAATAGTATTAATAGTAGTAGTATAAATATTATATTAGGCATAAATTACTTCTAAAAAGTGTAGGTAGGTAAGTAATTAAGAATTAAGAATGTTCCGTTTCTTTAGTAAAAGAAACGGAACTTTCTTTCTTAAGTAAAAGTAGCTTTACTTTCGTTTCTTTTAGTAGGGTAATTATGCTATACCTACGTCATGGGTATCCACCGTAATATTGTAGCAGGTCCAACTGCATTGTCAATCAAAAATTAATAATTAGGCGCTCCACACACATCGTGTCCCGTTAAAAAACACGCTTCATCACCATTCAATATGTTACTACTTTATGACACCAAAATAACATTATTATAGATAATAATATTATTCAAAAAGTGAAATGTTCTATTGGCTCATATATTTTACCGTAACTTAATTAGATATTATATTATACCATAATTATACTACAAAGAGATACAAATTACATTTACATTTGGATTAAATTCTAAGTTTTGTCAACTCGTAAATGCAACATTGTGTAGATTTGAGAAATCTACATCTCTATCTAATGCCTCATAAACCATACCGAGGTTATATAACGTTGCATCCACGAGCAGATATAAACATCTTGTGTCTGTCATCATTGGAATTTAGTACTTTGACCGAGGTAGACTTACTTTGTAAGTTGTTTTTCAGGTTAAGGGTAACATTGTAGACATGATCTCTTAATCCTTTTAAATAGCAACGCATGAGTGGTAACCACGGAATGACATGATTTCTGACATGATGTGCTGTTTATTAATATATGTAGGAAAGGGTTACCCCACAATGTCAGATACCACCGTCAGTTTGTTAGTGATTCCAATATAGAATATCATATTCCAATTAATCACGGCAGGTTCAAAAGAGGAAAAGATTTGGAGAAAGTCACGAAATATCACGTGTATTAAAATTTAATTAAACGGACATAGTACCCGCTAGCGACATTTCTAGTCTTTGAAATTACCCCAATGCAGGAGAGCTTTATCAATTTACCTTATAACCTGATTGCCCAAGTCCGAGGATTAATCGTCAGCAGCTTGCGATAAATGATCCATTACCTTAATGTCTATGTGCAGATTTTTATTGGTATACTTAATTTTCCTTAGTTATATAATAATACATCATAATTTGATTATATTTAAAAACTTTAGACATTTATGCTTATTTGATACCAAAAAAATACAGTATAAGTGGGGTTAGAATACTTAAAATGTATCACCAGGTAAAGTTCAAAATAAGATTAAAAGATACACGTAATTAATATTAATTGTTGGTGTATGTACTATGCAGCAGGAGACGACATCACTAGCAGAACGGATTCGACTCCTGACATGCGACGTAGATGAAGAAACAGAGCAGCAGCGACCACCGCCTGCCGGAGCCAGCACCGAAAAATTGTCCAACAATAGCGACAAATCCAGTGACAAATCATACAACAGCGTTGATAAGAACAGTGAGAAAGCGTTTGGAAGCGCCTCTTCATCCTCCTCGTCTTCGACTCTCTCTGCACCGGTGCCAACAAGACAACAACATCCACCCGATTTGGGCGATGTGCATCAAGAACCGCAGAAGGTTAGTCCTTGTAATTCTTAGGTCACACTTTGTTTCCTAAAACAATCTTATTTGATTGAAAACACAGTAAATAAAGAATAGTTGCAGAATTCCAGTACAGTCGTAAAATAGCTATGCCGCCACTTTTCCTTGCGGACCTGCACTTCCGAACACAATAGCGGACTTATTGTTATTTTACAAAGGAAAGGTAGCAATACTCTGAAACTTTGCTATGTTATCCTATACTAGGCTATCCTTTTCTAAGAATACATATCGTAGAATGTTATTTACATTCTATTATTATTTCCGCAGCCAAAACCAGAACCGCGTAGACAGTTCCTTTCTACATTAGCTCCACTAACGGCTTGCGTTGGAAGTGCTGCACATCATGAGGGTTTCTATTATTTGCCTCCTGAGAGGACCACTGCTTCATCAGCTACTAATATTGACCTTCAAGAACATAATGATGCACCGGCACCAGACATCGTTGCTGGTACACCAGGTAAATATTTTATCATCAGACCACATGTTCACATTTTTCCCGTAGTTGCATAATTCACCAATGCTCCTCTACTATTGGTTTCCTAATGTTTTATAGCCTATATATAGTCTTTCATTATAAATGAGCTATAAAACACAATTTTTTTTCTATTCGAACAGGTTTCAATTCGCTTTCTAATAAGCAAATAAACAGATTTCAGATTCAATGTTTGTATTGATACGCTAATGTGTACTTCTGTTGCCTCATTCATTTTGTTTTTTAAATAGATTAAAATCTGAATATTATAATGTTATATCAAAATCGGACAAAATAGTGAACAATTAAATTATTTTATATTTTTGGTTGTACTTCAGTTTTTAAGTTATATCCGAGCACAGATCACTGGTATATATAATAAATATAAATTTAGTTATCAAAATATGTAAATTAACTTATATCTTATTCACTGTTAAATTTGAAGCAATCTCCAATTACTTGCTTACGCAGAAATATAAATCTGTTAATTATACAATAATTAAAGTTCAAGTTCAATATCAACGTTGAATGTTGTTAAATTAGAAAGCAGAACTAGTCTATAAATAGGTTAATATATCAGGACAGGATTATTTTATCTAATTCGTTATACTAAATCTAATGTTAAATAATTATTTTTGAAATTTTGGCAGTAACTTGTTGCCGTTTTTTTTTTTCTTTGTAAAATCTACCCTTTTCTTGGTATTGTAGTTATTACTTTGAGAACGTCATATTCCGTTATCTAAGTAGTAAATAGTTTACAAATAAGGTTAAATAACGTGTTCTTCTGTTATTCTTATAATAGATATGGTAGTAAAATATTCAGAGAGGGTAAACACTGCAACTGCATCATGAATAAATAAACAAAGTTATAAAGACTCGACTCGAGTTACACAAAGCGCCACTTATTCAATGTGAGAAAAATACACCTAACTGCAGGAATCTCTATTTAGTGGCGTACTTAGAAAATGTTATCACTTCTCCTTTTGACGCGATTAGCGAAACAAAGGATGAATTTATCGATGCAACAAAGTAAAGCGTAGAGGATTTTCAGACACAAGTATTGACCAGTCTGCTGCTTAATTCTAGGCTGAGAGAGCCGTAACCAATAAAATATGACATTAAAAAATAGGGGATGGCGATAGAATGGTGAAAATATAGGATTGTATGTATTTTTAATGCCTCTAAAAAAATATAAAAATATCCAAAATGTTAAAAAAATATGTTAGTGGTCGACAACTCTTATCACTTAGGGGTATAAAAAATAGATGGTAGCCGATTCTCAGACCTACTGATTATGTATATGAAATTTTATAAAAATCGTTCTAGCTCTTTTGGAGAAGTATAAATTTCTCGTATGATAATGTTATTTACATTATCATACGAGAATTTTATATATAAGACTACTCGGCCCGGCTTCTCACTGGTGTACATGTATTATTATATGTAAACCTTCCTCTTGAATCCCTCTATTGAAAGAAAACGCTTCAAAATCCGTTGCATTGTATTAAAGATTTAGTCGCTACATAGGGACAGACAGCGACAGCGACTTTGTTTTATACTATGTAATAATTATGATGATGATGATGATTAAATGAAGACCAGTTACATTAGTAATAGATGTACGGTAGACGTATCATAGATACTAGAGTAATATATGAAATATATAGGTGCTGGTGATGGTGACGACGGACTTGCTGCTTTCGCCCGAGCGACTGCTCCAAGAACAGAACGATTGAGACAACGCTACGGTCAAGAATCGCAACCAGGCAGCAGTGATGACGAGCACGATGACTACGGTCAGTGATGATGATGATGATGTAATCCCGGCCGATTTCGGCCACGGCGACTGTCTTCAACTCCGGTTTTGCCGTTTATGTGCCCGCATGTGACTTATCTAGCCAATTTTGTTTGTAAAAATCCTCGCACATTGCGAGCACGATGCACACCGTTCACATAAGCTGATAGTATGTCAACTATAAAATGTTCTACTAAATGATAACTATTGTGTATTAGTTGGACATCTACAATATAATACGTAAATTCTAATTAATTAATCAAGTCCTGCGTTCTCATTATGTTTTCGTTCATGACAGATGGTCCCATTTTGCGTTATGCCTACCTAAATATTTGAAACAAGGAATATATTATTCAAAAAGCGTCGTGGCCTATTTACAACCATGACTTACAGCCTAAGCGACGCAAGTTTCATTATCATCTATAGCAATATTGAAATATTGAATTTTATGACCGGTTGGATGTAATAATTTTGGTAAAGAAATCTTATCTTTGATTCAACTCAACTATCCGGAAACGTGATACCTGTTGATATCAGGTTTTTTTGTTGGTATACAAAGTGGCTGACAATGCAGATAATATTTTAAGGAAAGTGTAAAAGATGATATGGTAAGAAAGCGAGTAAATAACCGGATAACTGCGAACGGGGATGAATGGAAGAGAACAACATATTACGGCGACACTAAATAAAAGGCATAAGGAAGAAGCAGATAATGACAGAGTGGCTACTGAATATTAATGTGGCTATGTTCTATTCTTTTAATAACATTTGTTTTACTAATAACCTCAGGTTTCCATCGGCGCCCAGCTGTCCGAGGCATAGCTGTGAAGCAACAGTTAGGAGCATCAGACGAAATCCTTCAGCAAATGCAAAATGATCTCCAGCCATCTCCAGGCGCTACATCGACACAGATGCCAACTCATTCATGCCAACGTACAAACTCGAATTATTCATGGCCGTACTACTCGGAGGCAAACTTGAACTCCAGGCCACAGAGTCGAGCCAGCGCTAGTTCTAATTGGTAAAAACCTTTTAATGCACTTATTTGGATTTATTTACTTATTCTGTTATCTAACATTTTATGAGATTCATCAATTAAAACAAAAACATAGAGTTAATGTAAACTTTTTCTTATATTGTGACTTTTCCCATTTGAAACATCGTCAGTACCTCATGTCAGAGTATTCTTAAACAAATGTCCCGATTAATATATTTACATGTTCTACACAAATTCCAATAAAAATAGTCCTACATATCAGTAACGGTCTCGATGGTGTAGCAGCTTTTCTTCCGTTAGTTGCGGTTCGATTTCTCCCACGGTGCAAACATTTGTATTTGTGAATATATTGCTTGTATCGATCTGGGTGTTTTCTATGTGTATTATGTATGTATTTACAAAAAAAAACAAATATCTATATTCGTTGTCTAGTACCCATAAAACAAGATCTGCTTACGGTGGGACTAGATGGACTAGTTTTCCACGGTTATTTATTTATTTATTGTATATTTCAACAGGTCAAAATCTTCAGACTACGTGACAGCGCGCCAATGTGGTAGTACTTCAGTTCCTCAGCAACACAGCGATGCTTGCTATGCCCACGCTCAGAACATGGCTTCATACGCACATTACCAGCATAGGCAACAGCAGGAGAATATGTACAGAAATTGTTCTCTCTACGCAAACGTCGGGTAAATATGTAACTCTCTTATAGTCTCTAAATAACCGCGGAAAATATTTTTACACCAAAATCCGTTTCACTTTCCAGCACATGGTCTTAAAAATCAGTCAAAATCTATCACTGACAGGATATCTATTTTGTTTCAATTTCTATTGGACTATAAAGAAATTGCTATTCCTTTATTCTGAGTACAGTAATTAAAATTGCATAAGGCAACCATTATTTTCCAATATTCTCTGGTTTTACCCATATTTAACCAGTCTTTTCCTGTATACTCCACAATATCATAAGCCCACCGTCTTACTGGTCATTCAATTTCCTATTTCCTTTCCAGTATGTGGTTTTGATTGTCCATTTTTCATGTGTAACAGATGTTCAGACAGCAGCCAGGAACTGTACAGCTCACAAACAAGTTCCGAGCAGACGTCACCAGTTCGCTCGGTAGCTCGCTGTCGCAGGCCGGAATCTCCGCCTCCCATCAGGAGCAATCATCAGCTACTGTATGTCCCGTACAGCAACCACTATCACTATCAACACCAACAACACGAGTATGGGGCGCATTGGACTGCCAATGACTGTAAGTATTTAGTTTGCAAAATACGAATTTCTATGAAACGTATCTTAACTATTAAAACGTAACTTTCGTAAGAAATCCTTATTATTAATGAATATTATAAATGAGAAAGTAACTCTATCTGTCTGTTTCGTTTTCATGCCAAATCTACTGGACTGATTAAAATTAAATGTAGTTGTGACATGTAAATGTTAAAGTCATTTATCAAAATGTAAGTCAATATAATGAATGGACTGTATGTGTGATGTAAATCAAATAATGGATAGAAAATTGTAAATTCTTATAATGAAGATACGTGTACAAACGGATGTAAGACAAAAAGTTACATTAATAATATATGACAATTCTAAAAAAAAACAATTAAAACGGGTACAAAAATAAACATATAAAAATGTGAAAAGAGTTTGCAACAATAGTACACAAATAGTCTAGACCCTGAGGAAGGACATATGCTAATTTTTAATGCGATAAAAAGTAGTAAGGGCTAGAACGGGGAGATGAAAATATGTATTGTTGTATCGTTATTTTTAATGCTCGAAGCTTGAAACTTACTTTTTGCGGCTGTTGATTAAATATAAATAAAGACGACATTCAGAGTTTGTAAAAATTAAGGTAAAATAAATTAGGGACGAAAGTTTTTATAAGAAATCGTCTTTTATGAAGCTAGGACAATGAAACTTTTCCTGTTGACTTTTTTGGGTTAGATAATTGAATATTTTTTTACACTAGTGCCCCCGGTCGCCCTTCCAATCAATCCCCCATCCAATTCAAACGTGGATCGAAATTAGAATGGCCTGAGCTGAGGTTCGAACCCCCAGCAGTGCTCTTAGACTAAGTTGTATTCGTCAGGTGTGAGTTGGTTTCAGCCGCTCCATAAGTCCTTCCGCGGGTTTGGAGTACCATCTGCACTTGCCCCCTATCGTCCGGTGGAGCATTAGAGTAGTCTTAAAAAAAACATTTATCCCTGTTCGCAAGCATCACGTTACGTCACGTTTTCTCCCTTTCTTACCATATCATATTTCAGACCTAATATACTAAAACGCTTTCTTTAATAATTTTTTTTAAACAAATTAATGTGAGAATTGGCATAACTTATAGCCAATATTTCGTCATTTTACAGACAGTCGCATGCACTCGTATTACCAGCAACAGAGTCGAAGCGGTACCAACACGCCTCAGCCAGCTGCTGCCACCCAACCACAGAGGGCGCACTACACCCACGCACTTCAACTACAAGTAAAGATATTTTTCAATTTTAATCGCTTATGAACGTAACATGTATTGTATTAATATTTTTATCCCTACCGTTCTTTAAAGAGACGATTGCGATTCTATTCGTAATGGCCCATAAAAACAGAATGAAGGTCTCCTTATTGTACAGGTAGTATTTGCTACTAGGCGAATTTGGCCCTGATTACGACTAACCTTGTATATACCGTATAATCAATATACCATTATGTATTTTCAGAGTTTGTGCCCAGCTCCAGCCAGATACAGGCCTGTACCAGCAGCTCAGCCAGGCGGAGGCAAACAGATGATCTGTTATTCTGAAAAGGTATCATTTTCCTATAAATTTCTCCGTTCATGTACCAAGCAGATCGTATGATCTTTAATGAAGTACTAAAACGTTGCTTATCTATACTATCGTATCGGAGTTCCTGTTTGTTTTTGTTTTTCTTCTTTCGTGTGATTGACTGATCTTGTTTCGTGTGACACTTGACGTGACGTGTTCGGTTACTTTATGACTGTACAAATTATTGTAGTCGGCTTACGGCTTCGCTCGGGTGTATTACAAATCTTTGAATATTAATATAAGCACTCTATATATTAATAAGAACTGCATTAAAATTCTTTCCATAATTCCGTAAACAATCTAAACGTACCGACAGTGGCAATAACTGTCTTGTCTCTGTTTATATATGAAGATTACTGCAGATAGTTGCAGAACTGAAAATACGACCCTATAGTCTCGTGGAATACCCTATATTCCACGTATTCCATATAGGCAGCAATAATAATATACTTGCCTGCCTATACAATATGTAGGCAAATATAACAATAAAAAAATACCCTGTCGATGTTTTCTCACGAGACTATAGCATGGGGTTTTTCAAGAAGGGTATATTAAGGTTTATTAAAGGTTATCAAGGCGCATAACATCCGTGGTGTTTCAGGCGTCCATAGGCTACGATAACCATTTACCATCAGATGGTTCGTATGATTGTTTGCCACCATAGTAGAATAAAAAAATATTACAATAGTCTGAAATAAACAAATATATGTTTATATTTATATTTTTTTTTAAATTTATTGTAACTACATTATTAATATTTTACAAAAATACAGTCCTCTTAGCCTACTCATATTTACTATAAGTAGCTTTGTCTGGAAGCTGTATTCCTTTTATAGTATACGATTATTATTACTAATATTTGTTATTATCCATTTTACAATTTACCACTGTTACAAAGATATATTGTATATAAAGAACATATCTATTTTTTTTTTAAATAAAATATGTCCTCCGTGGAGAGATGCATTGATGGTCAGCAATGTTAGTTACTAACATGTGATGTCTGTAGGTGGCTGCGCCTCTGTACCAGCCGGCGCCTGGTTCGCCATCACGCTCATCCTCTGCCAGGGGAGCGCCAGAAGGAGCACCGGCCGGTGTCGCAGCGTCCAGCGCTACATCTCCGATGGCATCAGCACCTAATCCTGTCTACTATGCTATGAACGTCTGACGGGGGGACTAGGTGATGTACCTAATCACTATCACAATACTGACAGCCACAATTGGCAATTTTTTTAAGATAATGTAATGTAGTACCCGCCTTCACTAACACTGGAGGGGCACCAGTGAAGGATGATAAGATGAGCAAGAGGTCAGGTCAGTTAGCTCATCGTGACAAATTCACCAAGAATTTATCACGATGCTTTTGATGCCAGGGGGAACCGCGTGAAGGTAACCTGACTAGCAATGTACCATACATTGTTAGTCATAAGATCATCAGTCCACATTACTAAAAATTCGCTTTTCCCCCATACTGGTCAATTATGGGTGAAAAAGTCAATGTTAGTAATTTAGCACACTTACTCTCAGGTAATCGCAGATTCAATTCTTCGCACTGAGCGAACACTTTCATGAGTGTTGTGTTGTTTGTATCGGTCTGAGTGTTTTCTATGAATGTTACGTGTTTTATATATATCTACAAAAAAAGTATTTATTCGTACATCAGTTGTCTGGTACCCATACACAAGCCCTGCTTAGCTTGAAATTAGAGAATGCTGTGTATTCTCCTGGATTGTTATTAAGACAAAGAAAAATGCTGTAGGTATTTTATTGTACAGGTTAATTAAGAATAATAATAAAAATGTATTAAACAGGAAAGTATAAAAATAAATGTAGTAATAAATTTTCAAGGACAATTCACACAGCGCCATCTAGTCCCAAGCTAAATAGAACTTTTGTTATGGTTACTAGACAACTGATACAAATAAGCTGATACATTTTTTTTGTAAATGTACTAATGTACATAGAAAACACCTAGACCAGAATAGGTAATTATTATAGTATACGACTATGGACCAGCGTTTGTTGATTGAATTTCATAATTTGTATTTGAAATATCTACTATACACTTTAAGTTCACTTTGGTAAATTATTCATAGTTATAATAGGTGTATAATATTTATTAAAAATGGGTTTAATAAACCCATTTTTAATAATAATTATACGACTTTCATCAAATATGTTTACTAGTAACTTACTCAATGTGTAATATTTATAGTTTCCAGTATAGGTGTATGATATAAAGAGATAAAGAAAAAGTTTTAAAGGAGGTATAATAGGTGATTATAATGTCCTAAAAGGGATACTCGTATTCTGTAGAAGCTATGGCGATAACAGCGAGTAAATATTGAAATTACAGCAAACAGGACATTATGAGTTAAAGGAAGTTAACAATTGTAATCATAATTATAAATTTTATATTGTAGGTGAAAATCGTGGTGGGCCCCTTAGGAGAGGTCCGTATCAGCGTACAACCGAATCAAGCCACGCCGGCTCCGACTTCAGTTGACTCTGGAAAAAATCCTATTGGAAAGCAGTCTGAAGGGAACCCCTCTAGTCGCCCAAGGCGTCGTTGAATGTTTGAATGACTTTAATTTTAATTACGTTGCATCTAATACAAATCTAGAAAAAGGGCTCACGTTATTAATTTATACGGTATATAGAAAACTAGTCATGGGCAACTTCAAGTACCTACCAAGGTTATTAGTGTAATAATGTTACGTTATTGTGTATATAATACTTTATATTATGTATATATATACATATATATACTTATTTATATTTGTTCATATATATTTATACAAAAAATCTATTCACTGACCAATTTCTTTCTGAAATTTGTTCAGAAATTACCATTGTTTTTATTGCAAAGTTGCCAAATCTATTATAATATATAAATCTAGAGTGTCTACGTTGTATAAAATTATTATCTGTTAATTTTTGTTTTGCTAAATTCTAATATACAATATAATTAAAATATATATATAAATACTGCGAAACAAATTGTTAGCTCCTTAATAAAAATTTTTGCTCCCTTTATTTTAAAGCATAAAAAAATTTATGCCAAAAAAGATATGTAGTAGAAAATATGAAATAAATTGATTGAAAAATTCAGTAATAACGTATATATGAATCTTATAAGTGCAATACAAAATCTGGTGTCCATTATTATCTATTCCACTATATTATTTTACTAACTGACTACTTCTTGGATTGTGCTATATTTGAGAAACTAGGGATCGAAAATCTTCGGGATACATGATTCTTAGTCCTAAATCTACTTGCCCTACCATAAGAAAATATAGCATACTTTTAAATTAAATTTATTTTTAAGTATAAGTATTAAAGCTATATGTACGTTTTTATGTTAAATTTCAACTTGATAGTGATGAAAGAAATCTCTAATTCTTTTCTTTAATTAACTCTTATGTTGCATAATATATTATTTATAGAAAGTTATCGGTATGTCAAAAAAATTGCAGTTACTTTCTTTGATTATGCTATTCTCTAATCTTGTCTGTCCTCCTAATATTGGTGTAATTATTATTATATAATTAAGAAATTCTGTATTAATTCCCTATCTGTTTAGGGATTAGGTACAACTATTTCTATTGTATGTTGAGCCTTACAGACTCGACTATAAGAATTAGTCAATCGTTTCTTTTATTTACATTCTGGTAAAACTTCATATAAATCTATCACTTAAAAATATATCCAATTAAATAGCTACCTGCCCCGGCTTCGCACGGGTGTACATGTATTATTATATATATAAAACTTCCTCGTGAATCTTCTCTATTGCTAAAAACTGCATTACAATCCATTGTGTAGTTTAAAAGATCTAAGAAAAACGTCAGCGGAAGTGACTTCATTTTATATTGTGTAATAATGATAAAGATGTGAAAGTAGAAAAAATCTGTATTATATGTATTTTTTCGGGAAGCCGCAACTTTGTAGGCAATATCAATGTTTTAAAATTAAGGATACTCAATAATATGTGTCTGTCTATTCATCTTATTATTATAGTAATATACAACCTCGGCATAGCCAAAGATTAGCTCATGAAGTATTAGAATTGTATTGAAGTAAGTTCAACCGCGTGCAACCACGTAAAAATTTGTTAGATAAAATGTTGTTCTATGATTGATGACACATTTGTGACAATTTACATTTAATATAACATTGAAACATTAAGTAAGACGAGCTGCAATGTTATATACAACGGACATGTATAGAACATTATTTTAATGTATGGTACGGTTTTAAACACGAGTAAATATACTAGAGGCTTAAGTATTCACCTACATTCATTTTCTGCAAAAACAGTACCAAAAATAAGTATCATTTAGATCTTTTTAGTACCTCTTTTAAAATCATTCAGGTAGAATATTAATATATATTGTAATTTCTATTTTATTTCTAGTGGAATGATTATTTTAGGAAAATAATACTGTGAATGATGATATAAAGAAATATTAGATTGAAATAAAGATATGTTTGTTATAAGCAATAGTATTAACCGAAAATTACAAAGATGAGTGCCAAATATTACTGGAAATAAGCAGTATTAGAATAATAGGTAACTTTTATTTTTGTATAGGTAGTATGAATTAATTAGACTTTTCCGTAGCCGGCCTAGAGTTCTCTTAATAGTCTAATAAGAGTCATGTTATAAAATTACAAATGGACGGACTTGTTAGAATAATTATGTGACACACATGTTTAGATTGTTTAGGATTAATCTGCCATAAGGTTAATTTTATTATTACATTTATTTGATATTAAGTACATAATTTGTTCTTAATTATTATCATCGTGCTTTAGATTAATAAATTATTGCAGATGGGTTAAATGTGAATCACCCTGATTTTCATTTGTTTTTCTTAATTGTTCTATTAATACATATTTTAAGACAATAACTTTGTTTAAAGATAGTTTTTACGCGTTGAATAGATTAAATTTGAGTATTGTTTTTATAATATACAGACTTATTAGTTAATACATTTTATAAATATTGTTTGAATTGCTTATGTAATATGGTTAATAGGTGTAACATCGAGCTAATTTAACAAGAAGTGCCTCTTTAGGCAAATTATTTTATAGAAGAAAAAAAAACAAAACTATATCGCACAACTGAAAGACCAAAACGGAGACCAACGACAACCTCTTTCCATTGAAAATTAGAAATATTTTTGAGATAAATACGACGTGCAAACGATGTGCCGTGCAAAAAAATAGTTCGTTAGTAAACACATTCAATATAGGACCGTTAAAGTATTTTTACACTACTGTTAGCGTGAATCCAATGATATGTAGGTATTTGCAGCACTAAATAATATATGCCTCTAGATATTTGATGAATTTTATCATTGTAGAACGCTGACGAACCGTGATATAGAACAATAAGTAGGTACGAATATCTGTGAAATATGCCTGTTATAGCAATATTGCTAAAGACTGATATTTCCCAATGATTGATACTGGTTACATTTACTGGAGGCATTATTATTGGGCTGGTAATGTATAGTTGGAATGTTAAAATATGATACATCTGAAATTCTATCCATATTTATAGTGTGCTGTTTCCAGTGGCGTAACAATTTAGGTCCAGGTCTAGAATAAGTGTAGGTTTTGCGCGCCACCAAACAGCAGGGTACTTATTTAGTTATTTTAGTCATAACCATTGTCTACTTTACGTCTTTCTAGTTATAGTAAAAGTCATAGAATTAGATCTCATTGTCAAGATGGTCGATTCAGCAATGTTATGTTACGCTGTCACAATACATTATAATGTTGTAACGATACATTATTTTTAACATTTTATGTCGTTACTACATATTACATTATTATCAATAAGTACCTCTATTCAAAGTAATTTATAACTTTTAATGTGAAGAAGTACTTATATTAATCATTTGTTAGCTTTAAATGTTAAGATATAAGTGAAACGTTTTGTCACTTAATGTATCTTTCAAGTTGATTGTGCAGTCAACTTTTGTATTCTACAGGCATGGGCAACTGATCTTCTAGAGATGTTACATTATCATTATAATTACATTACATGAGTACAGCATTACTACTTACATACATTTAACTCTAAAATATACATAATACATTTGGTAATGTAATAACTCTTAAAATTGACAGCATAGATACATATTCATGCTGTCG